ATACTTCTGTTCATAATTACTGCGCCAAGATGTCGTCTTATTGTATTTGTCCATTTTCGTGAAGGCGCAAAGTTGATTTTTATCGCAAACCTCGAATATGCAGCTAATGCCTATTTTTGTTTAGTAGTTTCCAGAAAAGCTAAACGAATCCAAAGGAGAGCCTGCACTATAAATTTGTTTCATACGGTAGCATAAAAAGGGATTATATCTTTGTTTACGTGCTCTAGCTCCTGCATCTATCTTCCAGCAATGGTACCTTTGTTAAGAGATAAATTCTGTAGAATACCATTACACCATTATTTTATTGTACACATCTCATGATATATCGTTTTCAATATTGCGTGCATCCATTTCATCACGAAGGATTAAGCAAGATACATAGTAAAGCCGAAGGAATGGGCCACGAGGCGTAGAATTTGCATTTTCTAAAAAGAAACACTACAGGTAATCTAGGAAGACGCAGACTTTTACAGCTAGGTCATATATGTAGCATCTCTATACATAGAATGTAAGTCGTTGCATGCTGTGTGGTTATTTTTGCAAGCTTATTTCCTTCCGAACTTCCTAAATTTTGCTCATATTATGTATTCGTTTTAAAAGCGTATCCCTTTTTCTGCCAAGTGATTCATTTTAGGACAATGAATTTGTTTTGATTTTTGAGCTAAGGAGGGGAGAAAGTGAATAAAAAACTGCAATTTCTACGTTTATATATTTACATGATTCATCACGATTTTTTGAAGTTTGTTAGCAATTTTAACCAAATTTCCAGCACTAATCCAGTCAAATGCAGCATTCTTCGTTGCCTAGCATCTACTTCCATTCTCTCACAATTTTTTGACACTTGCCCAAGAATGCAATGTGGCTCCTCTTGAAGAAGTCATTAAGCCAGTTTTAAATACTTTGTTATCGAACGGCACACCATATGGTCGGAGAGTGAGCAAAAATGTTTATTGAAGCTTAAGTCCCTACAAATGGTATCTAAACAGATGATCTAGCGGTATAACAACTTTAGTAGCTCTGCAGAAAATGACACATT